CGCCTTAACTTTTAAAAGGCAAAAAATTCCTTAAGCAAAAGAGGACCCGAGTTCTCTCGCCTCGTCCTAGTTAACACTGAGACCTGACACCAAGCCACTGTGACTTGAAATCTGGTAGAAACTATCCTGGCTTTAATTCATTAAAAAAAAAAAATTAAAACTCTTTCCTTTCTCTCAGGAGACTGGGGAGGCTCTGCCTCCCTTGCCTCTAGTGACTGCACGTCCCTGACAAGAATGATTCCTTGTTGATTTCATCACAATGGATTGATTAACTGACTTCATTGTGGGAACAACCATGACAGTGAATTCTAAGAGGGTTTCTGAAAGTATATATAGCTTCTGAAGTTATTGTAAAGGTAAAGGTTTTCCTCACACATACATGTGCTAGTCCTTCCCGACTCTAGGGGATGGTGCTCATCTCTGTTTCAAAGCCAAAGAGCCAGCGCTGTCCAAAGACATCTCCGTGGTCATGTGGTCGGCATGACTAAATGCAGAAGGCACACGGAATGCTGTTTCCTTCCCACCAAAGGTGGTTCCTATTTTTTCTACTTGCATTTTTATGTGCTTTTGAACTGCTAGGCTGGCGGAAGTTGGGAAAAGGAATGAGACCTCACTCCGTTATATGGCGCGAGGGATTCGAACTGCCAAATTGAAGGGATAATATATCCAGGTCAAATAAGATGTTTAATGTGATGTCTGATTTGAGACTAAAACGGGTGTCTCATTCCTTCCTCACCCAAAGGAAAGTGTAAAGCAGTGTTCCGAAATTTGAGGGGATCCTACGCAGACGAAAGGTTCAATTTATTTTCCAAAGCCCCAGAATGCAAGACAAGAAAGGATGGGTGGAAATTAACCAAGGAGAGAAGCAACCTAGAATTAAGGAGAAATTTTCTAACTATGAGAGCAATAAACCAATGGGATAGCTTCAGGGGTGGGCTCCAAAAATTGCAGCAATGGGTTCTCTGCCCTGTTGCTGGGTGGGCGTGACCATGGTGGGCATGGCCTAGTCGGCCTCCTGCATCATGGGGAGGGGGGCATTTTTCACCCTCCCCAGGCTCCGGAGCTTTCCTCGAGCCTCTGGGAGAGAGAAAACTGCTTCCCTCAGGCCTGTTTTCTCAGAGGCTGGAAACAGGCTATTTGTGGGCTTCCAGAACCTCTGGGCAGGCTCATTTTACTCCCCTCCCCCGAGCCTCTACATGGGGCCTGCACTTACCTGGCTGCATGGAGAATCCTGGGAGGGGCAGGGCGGGGTAGGAGGAGCCAGCCAGGGATGGCATTTGGGGGTTCACCAAACTGGGCAGAACCCTCAGCAACCCACCTCTGAATAGCTTGCATCCAGAAGTTGTGGGTGCTCCATCCCTGGTGTTTTTTTTAAAACAAGTCTGACGGATATTCCGAGGTCAAAAATCATGCAAGTTCTAGGTTGCTTCTCTGTTTGATTAATTTCCATCCATTATTTCTGGTCTCGTGTTCTGGGGCTTTGTAAAAAAGCTTGACCTTTGTAGGAGCCCCTCAAATATTGGAACACTAGACAGCCATTTGCCGGAAGTGGTATAGGAAGTCTCTTGCCCGAGCTGGGGGTTGGACTAGAAGACCTCTAAGGTCCCCACCCAACTCTGCTATTCTATGTTCTGTGCTCCTTATTTGCCCTTGAGGAGAAGCTGAAAAGCAAGCAAGAAGAAGACAGGGATGAACACGTGCCTTTCTTTCTTTCTTCCAGCGGCCCCACCAGCTCCGTCGCTGAATTACACGACTTTTGACTCCGGAAAGTCCATCAGGATGGAATGCACAGCTCCACCGGAAGCTAATAAAATCAAGGAGTTTCGCTTCATGGCAAACAACATGGTTGTCTTGATCAGAGCTACCGTCAACAGCTCCTATACACACAATCTAACTGAGGTGAAAGACAAGCATGTGACTACCGTGAGGTGTGCTTACGTTGAGAACCTCCATGGAAGAAATGTAGTTTCTAGGAGCAGCAACCCAATCTTGATTGACCAGCTAGGTAATTTGCTTCTAAGGTTCCCATGTTCTTTTTTTTTTTCCCCCTTCTAACACGCTGCTGAATATCTATGGAAATTCTCAGCCTATCCAGGCTGAGAATATTTGTCCCAAAGGCAACTGGACTTTTCTGGTTTTTTCCTTGAAGAAGTTTCACTCAGTGATAGCATTCCAATTTTTTTTTACTACTGGTTCTGTGGGTGTGGCTTTGTGGATGTGATGTGGCTTTGTGGGCGTGGCAGGGGAAGGATACTGCAAAATCCCCATTCCCTCCCCACCCCACTATCCTGCTTTTCAGCTCCGTTCTCCTGTTCAGGGCAACAAAAGAAGATCAGCTGGGAGGCTGGGAGGCAGCAGGGGCAGGGTCATCTTATTTGCCAGTTCTCCAAACTACTCAAAATTTCCACTATCGGTTCTCCAGAACCTGTCAGAACTGGCTGAATTAAATTAAATTTAAATTTACTTTATTGTAATTGTACGTATATACACAGTATACCTATACAACGAAATTCACATGAGGCCAGAAGACCAGGCCCAACACACATGACAATCCCCCAAAACACTCCCACCCACCAAAAACTCCCCGCCCCTACCACCTCTGATTTCACTTCTCACCCAAGAAGCTTCTTCAGTTCTGAACGAATTCTTTTCTGAAGAAGTTTCTTGGATGAGAAGCGAAACACCTTCAAGGAAAAACTGAGAAAGCCCAGTTTCTTCTTGAAAAAGCACTTTTGGGACATGCTGCTGAAGAGCTGGCCCAGAAAGAAGGTGTAAGAGATTGCAGTGAGATCAAAAATGATAGCAAGACCACAGAGCTTACCGAAGCTGCTTTGTGAATGATGCATCAGCACTGTTTGTTAGAAAAGCCAAAAATAATCAGTCTAATCTGATTCTGAACAAGAATACTTGCCTGTTTATTAAAAGAAGTGAAGGATGTGGTAAGTTTGTGTTAAAAAACAAACAAACAGCGTGTTTTCCTCTCTCTTCATATTTAGGCATTAGATGGGTTCGATTGTTGGCTGTCGGTGGGAGTTTCTTCACTATCAACGGTCTCATCTTCTTAATCTCCTATTGCATTTCTTTAAGAAGCAGGTAAGGCAGATTGGAGGCATTGGTAAAATGATTAATCTCTTTAGAGGTTTAGTGATTTCATTTTTCCCACACCTTTGAGAAGATAAATTGACAAAGGTGGAATTTACATAGCCAGGAAGAAACAAGATAGAAATCTCATTTTATCTCCAGAATAGTCACCTGAAACTTCTTCAAAGTCTTCTTCCTAACAAATAAGGACTCTAGTGCCCATTATCCCATCATGAGGCATAGCTAAGGAGGATGGGAGCTATAGGACAACACCCGAAGAGCCAATTTTGTCCTATTTAGGAGTTAAAACAGGAATTTTTGTGACTCAGGAGCTAAATTTGACTTTTGCAAAGATTGGCATGTTCCAAAATGGTTTTTAAAAAAAGCCATAGAAGATACAGGTGAAACTATAAAATAAATAATGAACCTTTTTCCTCCCAAAAGAGGGTGAAAAGCTGGGTGCATCTTATGCACTGAATACAGCATTTTTGGCCTGCCGAAACATCACCCCCTTTGCAAAAATGGACAGGCTGTTCTTGCTTGTTTTTGCACACTCCCATTCCCCAGGAGCACTCTACAAGCCTCCCAAAACCTCTGCATGCCCCCCTTTTTGGGGCAATAAGCTTCCTGTTTTGGTGAAAAATTGGCCGTTTTGTGCTTGTTTTTGCCGCCCCACCCCCCCAGGAGCACTCTACAAGCCTCCCAAAACCTCTGCATGCCCCCCTTTTTGGGGCAATAAGCTTCCTGTTTTGGTGAAAAATTGGCCGTTTTGTGCTTGTTTTTGCCCCCACAGCCCCCAAGAGCATTTTACAAGCCTCCCAAAGCTCTGCATGCCCCCCCCCCCTTTGCAAAAATGAAGCATGTAGAGAGTTTGGGAAGCCTGCAGCTTTTTAAAAAAAATTACCTCTTCAAAATCATGGTGTATCTTATACTCTGGTGAGTCTTATAGTCCAAAAAATATGGTAAATGTGTTCTCTGAGATGATTTCCTCCATCCAGGACCTTCTCCACCAATAGTTGGGAAAGGCTTTTTAGGAACTATATCCATGATTCTGTGTGTGGTCCTGAGATCAAGTAGCCCACCACTGCCTTTAAAAATCTAGGACAATATTTTAAGGCCTACTTTTCTTATGAATAGAGGTAAATATCCATGTTCTAGGATAATGTTGCAGGATCCAATCTGGGTCGATCAACAGGACCAGACATTTAGTCTTCTGAACTCTTAGACCCATGATGGCAAACTTATGGCATGTGTTCCACAGGTGGCATCCGGAGCCATTTGTCAGCGCATGCGAGGCGTTGCCCTTGTCAGCTGGCCAGCACACATGCGCACACTGTCCAGCTGACTTCGGCCTTCTTTTGAGGCCATTTTTTGCCCTCCGTAGGCTTCCTTGAAGGCTCTGGAGCATTAAAAACCAGCCCTACGGGCAAACCGTAGGAACTTTAGGAACATACTTCCAGTTTGGTTGTGGGGCTGGTTTTAGCCCTCTGGAGCCTTCAGGAGCTTTCAGGAGGCTTCCCTGAAGGCTCCGGAGGGAAAAAATGACCCTACAAGCAAACTGGAGGTCAGTTTGTCCGTAGGGCTGTTTTTCATCCTCCGGGGGCCTTCAGGGAAACCTTCTGAAGGTCCCTGAAGGCTTTGGAGGACTAAAAATGGTCCTACAAACAAACTGGAAGTGACTTCTAGTTTGCTCATAGGGTCTTTTTTTGCCCTCTGGAGCCTTCACACAAGCCTCCTGAAGGCCTATTGTTGTGTCCTGACCAGCAGATGGCGCTGTGCAAAGCGCCTCTGATTGGCCAGGATGCACCTGCCAGCTGGCGGGAGAAACCCGGTGTTCTCATTGGTACCCTGTCTGACAGCTCCTGGTATAAATAGCTGTCAGATGGGGGTTTGTTGTCATTTGCCTGTCTCCTACGTTATTGTCCTCAAGATTTAAAACCCCTGAAGGCTCCGGATGACAAAAAATGCCCTACGAGCTCGTAGGATAGTTTTTTGCACTCCAGAGCCTTCAGGGAAGCCTTCGGAAGGCCCTTGAAGGCTACAGAGGCTAAAGTTGGCCCTATAAGCAAACCGGAAGTCCATTCCTGAAAACAGCAGGGAGGCTGTTTTCACCCTCCCCAGGCTCCTATAAACCCTCTGGAGCCTGGGGAGGGTGAAAAAAGCACACCCAAAAATGGGGGTCATGCGTGCGTGAATGCTGGGGTTGTGGGTGTGGCATGCCTGCTCACGACCCCCCTGTGCTCCTCCCGCTTTTGGCATTCAAAATCCAGCAATTTGAAACTCAGCTGCTTACCTTCTAAGGCAGCCCCAGTAAGTAGAACAGTGGAGGTGCATAAATCAGCTGTGCTGCGTGAATCAGCTGAGCCAGAAAGAAGGAAATATAGAACAGTATAGTGTAGGGCCAGGTGGGCAGAGCCAACTGTTTATCGGAACTATCGGTTTGTCCGAAGTGGTCCAAACTGACAGGCGGCTACCACTGATGGAGATTATCCTCAGGGAACGTATTTCTACCAAGTTCTCTGAGGTCGGGCCCAGAAGAAAACTCAGAAGACTAAAACTCTAGTCCTGGTGACCAACCAAGATTGGATCCTAGTTTTCTTCTTTTGGACAGTATAATCAGAGATGGGGTGCTGCCTGTTCACCCTAGATTGGGCAAACCAGTAGTGGCAGTGGTGGGAGACTCTGCTCACCCACCCAGACGCTTCCGTGCATGCACAGAAGCATCACACAATTGCACGATTGTGCGTGTGTACACGAGCGGACCGGTGGTAAAATAAATTGCACCCCACCATTGACCATAATATGCTTAAACTAGAAATGTGCCCTTAAAAAAATTAGTAAAGCTTTTAATTTCTAGCCATGACAGAGGATGGAGCACAGGGACAATGTTCCTATTCCTACAATATTTAAACCCATTGTCTACTCACTGAGTCAGACCTCTATTGTTGGCCCACTGGAAAGGCACTATCACAGGAACTGAGTCAAAAAGGCTGCAAAAATCAGAATGACCACTGGTGGCAGCAAAAAGGCAGATAAAAATTATGTCTCCTTGCTGCCATCTCTAGGTTAGTCAGGGTTTTAAAGACAAATATATTAGTTTTAATGTAGAGAACGCCACATGTATATATCCCCAAGGAAGGGCTGATGTTCCATAAACCCTTGTGACAAATTCTTGAAAAGTCTACATGGCATCCTTAGTCTTGCTCTCTTTTTTTTTTCTCTCTCTCTCTCCCCCATCATTGGCCATAAAACAGGACTAAGTGAGCTATTCTATCCAATCAGCACTTCGGAGGTATGTTCTTGTCCAGCCCTGCAGTGAGTTCTGTCATAGAGTGGCCTTGGTTACTCTTTTTCTCCCAGTCCTTTTCTTGGATGATTAAGTTCGCAACATGAGTCAGTAGTCATGTTACCCTAGGCATGACCCCAGATGTTGTGTTGCAACCTGGTGATGTCCTTAATCATAATAGGGGAGGACAGGGAGGAGGAGCAGGGCACCTGTCAACAATCTGCTTCTTTGAACAAGGTTTAAAATGGGGGAATGCAGGAGATGACCAAGCTGAGCCAGAGGGCAGGGTCAAATGCGTCATTAGTATGGAGTCTCTACAATCCTGTAAGAGACCTAAGTCCAGCCTCCCTTGAAGTCCAATGATATCTGGTGCCAATTTGTCTTGACCGTTAGTGGTTCGGATAGCATGAAATAACCTTGCAGTATAGGCGGCTCTCAACTTATGGCAGTTTATTTAGTGACCGCTCAAAGTTCCAACAGCACTTTAAAAAGCGACTCATGACTATTTTTCACACTTTATGACCATTGCGACATCCCCATGGTCAGGTGATCAAAAAATTTGGCAACAAGCTCATACTTATGACAATGGCAGTATCCTTGGGGCGTGAAATCATATTTGCGATCTTCTGACAAGCAAAGCCAATGGGGAAGCCAGATTCACTTAACAATTGTGTCACTGACTTTAAACAACCATGGTAATTCATTTGACAACTGTGGCAAGAAAGGTCGTAAAATGAAACAAAACTCTCTTAACACATGTTTCACTTAACAGCAGGAATTTTGGCCTCAGTCGTGTTCCTAAGTCAAGGATTGCAGTTTGTAACTATATCCTGGCTCCTGACTTCTTGCAGTTTACTAGAGGCTCAGAGTTAAGGGCCTATATCCATGATGATGAACCTATGACACGCATGCCACAGGCAGCATGCAGAGCCCTCTTTGTGGGCATGCCAGCTGTCACTCCAGCTCAGCTCCACTGCGCATGCATGTGTGCCTCCTGCTTGTCTTTGGGTCTCTGCCATGCATGTACAAGGGGGAAGGGCGCATATGTGGGGGTGCTCACATTGCATTTTGGGGGTTTAGGAATATAATCTAATGGTTGGTTTGGCAATATATAAATCATATAACAATGCTGTACCTGTTTCTTTAAATCATGCTGAAAATGTGAGTGGTTGCTGTTTCCTCAATTGGCCAAAAGATCGAGCCAGAATCACTGTTAGNGCAAGTCTTAAAGCTGTCAAGTTACAAGACCTTTGCACACCTAATACTTTAGAAAAAAAAACCCAGGGGTGATCAAACTTGACAGCTTTAAGACTTGTGTACTTCAACTCCCAGAATTCCTCCTCTCGCTCTTCATCTTGATGATGTGCAGATAGGCGGGGGGAGGGAGCTGGAACCGGTTCTAAACAGCACTGTAGATTTATGGAACCTCTTCTATAGAAGAGGTTAGAACTGGCAGGAACCCAGCCCTGCCCCACTTGTACATTAAAAGTTCAATGATTGAAATATAGGCAGCTCTTCAGTTGCAACAGTTCATTTAGTAACCTCTTGAAGTTAAAATGGCGTTATTAAAAGTGACTTAGAACCGTTTTTCACATAACCATTGTAACATCTCCATGGTCACATGATCAAACTTCAGATGCTTGGCAATGGACTTGTATTTATGACGGTTGCAGTGTCCCGGGGTCACGTGGTCCCCTTTTGTGACTTTCTGACAAGCAAAGTCCACGGGGAAGCCAGATTCACTTAACAAACGTGTTAACAACTAATTTAACAGCTGCATTGATTCACTTAACAACTGCAGTGATTCCCTTAACAACAGTGGCAAGAAAGGTTGTAACCCAGGGCACAAGTCACTTAAAAAACGTCTCACGTTGTAACAGGACATTTGCGCTCAGTTATGGTCATAAGACTACTTTTAAAGCACAAAAGTGAGGTAAAATAATGTAAAGCAGTGGTCACCAACTGGTGGTCTGCAAGAAAATTTTGGTGGTTCACAGAAAAACTATTTGCAATTTTTATATTGAACTAAGTCAGGGATCCTCAAACTCCGGCCCATGGGACGGATACGTGCAATGAACGCTTGCGTTGCTGCAGAGAGTCTCCCCTTCCGGACTCTTTTTATGTAGGTTGGAGGGGGGCAGAAATTCCAACTTGAGGTCTGCTTTGGCCGCATTTGAACCGCCGAACTGCCGACCTTCTGATCGACAAACTCAGCATCTTAGCCACTGAGCCACCGCATCACCTTCTTCAACATTAAGAGTCACTATAAATGGGCCCACATCCGGAGATATGTTTTCACTGCCCACGTTCAGTAGCCAGGAGGCCTACGAGGAAAGGGAAGATAAAGCTGCAGAGAAATTAGACAGGTTAAGAAGAATGAGTCAGTTTGGTGTAACAGATAAGGTGTCAGGCTGGAAACTGGGGGATCCTGAGTTCTAGTCCTTTGTGCTTTAAGCACAAAGACAGCTGGGTGACCTTGAGCCAGTCACTCACTCTCCACCCTAGAAAAGAGTCAAGGGCAAACCATATCTGAAAAACATTGCTAAGGAAGCTGCAGGGAGTTGTACAGACCAACAGTCACCAACTGGTGGTCCGTGGCCCACCAGAAAATATTGGTGGTCCTCAGAAAAATTATTTGCATTTTTTATATTGCACTAAAGCAGGGGTCCTCTAACTACGACCCCTGGGAAGCATACGTACAATGAATATTTGTGTTGCTGCAGAGAGTCTCCTTCTTCGGGGTCTTTTTATGTGGGCCGGAGGGCAGCCTCCCTTCAGCCTCCTGGTGTGGGGTTTTGGGCAAAGGCTGGAGGGAAGCACCACTGATGGCAAAGAGCCAGAGGGCCTTGTTCCAATAGGACTGCATCATGGCCTGGAACTGGCTGACCATCTCAGCCCGCTGAGCCTCCAGGCATCAGGACCTGGCCTTGCACTCCCGCAGGTCTTCCCTCTGCTTGGAAAGCCTATGCTCATAGTCCTCAGTGAGGTGCTTCTGCTGAGTCTCCTTCTTAGTCAGATCCAATTTGAACTGAGCTGTTTTGCCAACTCTTTCTCATGGTGGCTGCTTAGCTCCAACAACTGCTTCCTGTTGGGACCTTAAGGAGCCGGGGCAGGGAGGCAAGGAGTGGGTGGGAGGGGAGGAGTGAGTAGAGGCTAGTGAGGCACCCCTCAACTTGAGTGACATTGAGTTGGCCATGCCCACCCATTGACATGACTACCTAGCCACACCAGTGGTGGGTTACAACTGGTACGTCCAGTAGGGGCGTACCAGTGCCTGTCAGGAGAACCAGATACCATTCTGGTAGGGTGCTCTGGAGGGCCCACCCGCCCACCCACACTTCTTAACAGTATTTGAAGTTTTTGGGGCTTCCACGCAGGCGCATGGAGTGCACAGCACCTGCGCGACTCTCCGCTGAGCAGCTGAGGCTTTGCAGAGTGTTGCGGGCGGTAAGTACGTGTGCACATGCGCTGTGCACATTCATGTGGTGGGCACCCAGCCTTGTTTCACTGTACCGGTTGCAACAGGATCTTGAACCCACCACTGAGAAAAATACCCACCCAGCCGGTCATTAGGCAGATCATATTATTGGTCCACATAAGTTAAAATTATGAATTTAGTGGCCCCTGATCCAAAAGGTTGATGGCCCCTGATCTAAAGGACAGTGAAATAAAGGAGTGTCTGTGTTAATAAAGGATGTAGGGTCACTGTATCTGTAAGACATAAAAAAAAAAAATAGTACATCGGTAGAGGTATTGGTAGCGGTATTGGTAGTAAAATAGTAGACTAAAAAAAGTTAGCAAAGCTCGCCCACTGCATCGTGTAAATGCACAGGGAGGGAAAAACAGATAAATGTTTGCCTGCATGCCTGGTGGAGTTTGGTTTTTCAGCTTCCCCCAGATAAAGCTCTGTGGTTTGAGTCCCTTCCTTCTGAAGCAAGGCAAAGGGAGATCTCTGCGAAAGAAGGGATGACCCAGGAAGGGATGGTTGACAGCTGAGCAGAAGGGAAAGGAAGGAAAATGAAAAGGAAAAGAAGGATACACACATGAATGCACTTCCAAGTTGGGACTTGTTGGAGCAGGAAAAGCCAGGGGTGTGGTCTTCATTCCTCCAGCAAGTCCCAACTTGGAGGTTGCCTGGAGAATCCAAGGAGTGTGAGTTCATGCCTGCAGGCTGAGCCAGCCTCCCTGACACTCCCTTGCTCTTCCATTACTCAATCTCATTCCAGCTAGTCTAGTCTAGACAAGCAAAGGAAGAGCACTAAGGGAAGCAACCTTTTGCAATGAAAAAGGATTGGTTAGGAAGGCATTAACCCAGCGAAGGCAGGAGACACTGGCCCGTCTGTGAGCTGAAGTGTATGGCTATCCCTCCATGTAGGTATTTTTTTTTTAACTTGGGGGGAGAGAATTTTAAGTGGTACTTGAGGCCCAGATCAAGTGAGGGGGGTGGGGGTGGAGAAAGGAAGTGAGGTAGGTAAAGAAGCAGTTCCATTGTATGAAATATTGGGGTGGGGTGGGGGGGTTCCTTGAATCGTTCTGTTTGGAGATTTGGAAATGAAAGGGTTTAGCAGAAATGTATGATAAGAATCCGAGACAATATTTTATGTTGGCCGGTTATTCTGCTATCCAAGCAGTCGCAATTCATCTTAATTTATAGATAACAATCATGGCAATGGAAACCACATGCAGAGGATTAAAGCAAAATTCCACAAGGGAGGGAGGAGAAAGAGAGAGAGAAAGAGTCAGCCAGTTAGCCAGTCAGGAAAGAAAGAAAGAAAGAAAGAAAGAAAGAAAGAAAGAAAGAAAGAAAGAAAGAAAGAAAGAAAGAAAGAAAGATTTTATTTTTCCAGATTCTGGTTAGCATTATCATTTATTTGTGCATTTCAACTGGGAGACGCAGAAAGGTAAGAGACCTACATTCCACTGCAACGGAAACTTTCTATGGAAAATTCAGGCATTAAGGAGGAAAGAATTTGAAAATGAAATAACAGGAGTCAGTAAGGACTTTC